GTGACACTGAAAAGTGGTAAACGCAGAGGCTGTTTCAGTTAGGAGGCAGTAGTGTGGAATTAGATGTATTCACATAAAACATGACTTCTTTTGGGGTTTGCTTTAAATATTTTTACTCTTCCTCTTTGACAGCACTTACATTTGTGATGTTTTCATCATTTACTTATTGCTAATAAGTACTTCATCAGGTTTGCTATTGAGGAACTAATTGTTAATTCCTCCAACTATGATAATACTTTAGGGGGCACAAAAAGGGTAATTGATGGTCATTTAATAATGAAGTTAGGAATTAACTACTCAGTATAATGTACCACTTAAACTTGCGGGTACAAACGTGAGTAACTAATTAACTATTATTACTATTAAGTAATAAGTAATTAATAGTTACTAGTTTTGTGCTGCTCAGTGGCTGATTTATAGTTAATCAGGAAAAAAAGTGGTCAGCATGTCGATTGACAGATATTCATGAACACATCATTACCTAATGATTGATTAATATAGTATCTCTGCTCTATAGTAACTCATCACTATGTAGTCCTTAATTCTGTGTTATTCAGGAACTACTAAAGATTCAGTGTTACCTTATTTACTTATTTGTTTACTAGGCAAGTGTTTTCATGACAAACTGTGTTCACTCATCTCCACCTCGGAACTGCTCATGTAACTCTGGTTTCTGTACTGCTGGCCATAAGCAGCTCTAACTCACAGAAGAGGGGGAAACTAATAACAGTGTTTACTAAACAACTGTAAAGCAAATTTGAGGTATTGGTACTTTATGGTATTTTATCATAATCTTGAGTGATCTAGTTTTCTGAATTACCGTCTGTACAATATTGCAACCTGATTATAGCCAGCTACGTTCTGCCAGATGAACAATAGTGAACTGAAATAGTTGGCTTGATGATTCCAGCTACAATAATAATATTAACTGTGCCTGTAAATTGAAATTAATCTAATATGATTTTGTTTGACAGCACAGTTTATAAGAATACTACGAGGTGGTTTATAGTAGCCTAATTATGTAGTCAATCGAATCAGCTATTTATATTACACTCAGAGCTCTACTCTTTTTTACCACGCACTTGCGAGTTAAAAAAAATTAGAGGGAAAGTTAAAGCAAGGTTTTTTTTCTAGTAACTACATTCATGATTATAGTGCCTCAATTGTGTAGCCAGTTGACTGTTGTTGAATCTCGAACAGAACCAGTTCAAGAACCAGAGCTAAATTGATGGAAAAGGAGCACTCTTCTCTTCCTAATAGTTCCTCTTAGAGCCCCGATTGCACATTTCAGTCTTTTTTAACCATTTTACCTCCACTATTATCTTACAGTCACATTTCAGCTTGTTACTAATCACTGATGTAGCAGGCTGAAACTAAAACAAAATATTATAGGAAATGCAAAACATTTCAACGATCTCATAGTTTAAGCGTTTTCATTTGAAATTTTGTACAATTTTGACAGTATTATATGTTTTCAGAGATTCCAAAAACAATCACAATCCATATCTATTTGGGACACACAGTACTTCAGCAAACATTTCAACAGGTTTCAGGTGGGGAGTATTGGGCAAAGATCCTGGTCCACATGGACTGACCAGAACACCACAGAAATGGAGATGAGATAAACTTCCAGATTTAACTGGCATAACCCTAAAGTTTGAAGAGTGAGGCTCTCAGGCAATTTCCCCTCCCTGTTTGAAAGCTGTGTAATCATATCAGAGACCTTCCAACTCACCTCTGGTCCTTCTCCATCTGCCTCCTGCCTTCAGACTGGATGTTAGTATCATAAATCACCATGATGACATGACTCTATAGGGGTAGGCTACAGTAAGTCATGTAAGATGTGACTGCATGCCAATGTAGCTATAATCAAGCTATATATATATATGTACTGGTTCCTCCTTTACCTTTGTCTCAGTAGCTGACCAAGGGTCTGATAATGGATCACACATCAACAAGACATTAGGATTATGCCATTTCCCCTTCAAACCTCACTTAACCACAGGCTGCCCTCCCCCTGCCGCGAGAATCGGCTAATAACCATCATGTATGGAAGTAGACACTCAGCACCGTGCAGTGTAAGGATGGCGTCAAGGTCATTTGAGGGTAACTGAGAAAATAACACGCCGTCTAAGCAAGAGCCGATCCAGCAAACTGTCCCATCACTGTTATTCATCTCACACATGCGGCTTCAGGGCGAGCAGTTGACATTTTAATGAGCACTGTGTTAAAAAAAAAATGTGTCGGCATCTAATCAATGATCTGCTGCAATCTCACATTAATGTGGCCACAACATGTGTGTTTGAGGAACAGTGAAAACAACCCAGATGTCTCAGTGCATTGCAGTGTGATACACTCTCCGGAATTACTGCACGTGTTAGCACCTCCGAATAACAATATCAACAACATCCTCCGCATACGGCATCATTCTGCAGGGTAGGACACCTATAACTTACTGGAACAACAGCTATGCAATGTGCAAAAAAAAAAACATGGTAAATGCAAAACACTGGAGCACATGCATGGGGAAAGCAACAGCAGCAAAGAGAACAAGTGTGATTCTGACACTAAATAGTTCCTTAAATATCACACAGTCCATCATTCCAGCAGCATGGATTTCAAACTGTGGGTTACAGTAGTTGGAGCTTGTGTACAGGCTGGTCTGTGCCATCCCATAGAGTCAAAGCAACGCGCCATGCATTAGACGTTCAAAGGGCTCTTTACCTGGTAGCTCAGTATGCTCTCGGGGTCGTTAACGGGCATGATCGTGGCCTTTTAACCTGCTCAGTGTTGACGGAGAGTAAAGGTGAGACTTTCTCTGGGGATGATCAGCCTCTCGTCGCTCGTCTTAGGACGTTTTGAAGAAAGCAGTCACGAGCTGGTCACAGTAGCCACTTCTGTTTCTGCAGACATGTTGAGTGTAAACATCTCTTCTAGATGAGGAAAACGGCGAAAATGCTAATTGTTGCCCCCCACCCCCCCCAGTGTTATGATGATTTCCCGGCCGCGCTTCCAGCTTCCCTCCCTCCTCCTGCCCTGGCTGTGGGAGCAGGATGCAGAGAGCATCACTGCGGCCTCAGCCAATCAGAGCGCAGAGGCACTCAACGGCCTGCGACGCACTGCTGCTACCCAACACAATAAAGCCAAGACTATTATAGGCTTATAGAGCGACGTCACCCTACATAATGTCCAGTTTGGCTGCTAACATGTGCTGGACTGTGACCACCGAGCACTGCAAATGGTTCAGCTGTTGCTTTCTTTTGCACTTTTATTGGTCACTTATTCAAAAAACTCAAATACTTATGGTTTATTTACTGGAAAGAAGAGGTGGTGGAAGAAATAGCCCGATCCTTTACATAAGTAGCAATACAAATATACTGCATTATAAGTAAGTTACAATCCTCCTGCATTCAATTCAATTGCCAACTTGAATAAAAGAAGAGATATATCAACAGCAAAATATACGATAATTTCTTCTATTAATAGCCTATACAACTTACAGACTTCTATTATATTAATAAAAGTATATATTAAGTAGACAATACTTGTAAATAAAGTAATTACTTTGCACCACTGAAAAAGTGTGTAATTGCAGGGTTGATACAGTAGAGATGATATTGCCCTTTCAATTATGAAACGGGACATGGAATGGCGATACTGTATTCAGCAGCAAAACATGAAAGCAAAAGAGAGCAGTGAGCTCATAAGATGAAAGAGAGAACAAGGACAGCGACACAATGCATCTGTTTGATCCTTTAACACACTAGAACATACTAGAAAGCCTTGGATGCCACCCTGTGGGAAGGCAATGCATTGCGCAAAGCAGGGTGTCTTATAATCCATGCACATGGTAACTCATGTGCACATGTCTTAACAGAGTGACGGCGATACAGGCTTATGATTGTACATGCAGGGCAGGCAGTTTCTCTTAAACCACTGCAGATGGTCGCCTTTATTGATAAGGAAGCAAAAAAAATAAATATATGAAACTAAGGAACAATATATTACACAGTGTTTGGCCTCAGCTTGAACTCTTTCGATCAAAATGAGACCTGTCCTCCTGCCACATTGTGAAACACTTGATTGGACTTGGCTCAGCAGGTTGACCCTCCTCAGCCAGTCGGCCCCTGTCGTTTACTGAGCACTGAGTTGAGATTGCAATCAGATACGTCCACACAAACGGTGCATCGTTGCGGGTTCAATGCTTGTTGTGCATGTCGCCTGCACGTGTAAGCCACACCGCAACCGATAGCGCCAGATAAGCGATACACTTTCTTCAACGCATGGCCAAAGGTGGTAGATTTTTCATCGACCTGCATGGCGTCCTGTTTCCACTGGGTACGGTTGTTATGGCAACCGTAAACATTCTGTGGGAGCATGCACGGTTGTCATGGGAACGGTCAGCGGGAGTATGAAGGAAGCAGGACTGAGCGAGTCTATGGGCAGAGTGGTCGGGTCACCGGGGAGGTGACAACATTAGGTTTGTATATTAATGTTCAACGTGAAATAACTCCTGTTTTTGTTTTGTTTGTTTGAGGTGCAGTTTACAGACAGGTGTGTATGCATGTGTAATCGCTGACATAGATTGCATACAGAGAGTTGGTCCGTAAATCCATGGCCGTTCATCGTGGGTATAGCCAGATGTGTTTCCATAGCCGACATGTTTTTTTAGTTTTTCTGTATGCGTATGCACGTCTGCCCGTGTGTGAGCGGGCGCACACATTTTTGCGCATGGGTATGTGTCAGTGAGAAGCTATGACAGCCTCAGTCAGCTCTGTCCAGATTTAGATGCCTGCTTGACCCAATTTACATCTTCTTCAGTAGCTACAGAGCTCTACATGTTACCTTATGATTCATTTGAATAAATCTACAAATTATTTCTGTATAATACCATTCCAGTAATATGATGGAGTAAAAATAATGCTGTTGAACATATGTCTGCTCCCAGAGAACTGAACACAGTGTTGATCAGCTGAAGAGAGAAGTAAACAAAAAGTAACATGCAACAACTGCCAGGTAAGTATGTAACTGCACATACAAGTACATGCATGGGCACACTTACTGCTTACTGTATGATGAAATTTGATCAGGCAATTTGTCTTAGTGTTACAATCCACAGTGGCTCCAGTGGAGGGGAGGTTTCGTCGCAGTGTGCCAAGCCTGCCAGCAATCAAGCCAGACAGGCTAAAAACAGCTAAAACGCTGGTGGAGAAGGCAGTGAAGGTGATTATATGTACAAAAGCCAGCCTGTAACACCTCTACGTATTACCCCACTATCATCATATGTTGTGTGTGTCCTATTTGACTCTTTCTGTCTCTCCTTCACTCATTCTCAGTTGAGGAAAGTGTTTTCAGTGCAGGGACCCTATCCTGTGATCCGTGCTGCCTTATGGGCCAGAGGGTGGGTGGAACGTCGTTTGCCCCATCCTGCCCAGAGAGCACCTCATTGCCAGGGCGATGAGGAGGAGGATGGTGATGATGGTGATGTCAGTGCTGGTGAGACAATGGATCTGAAGAGGACAAAGAGCTACCAGATCAGACATTTATTTTTTAGAAAGATGCAGTGTTCACGCCAATATCACAGACATCCTACTAGTTTACATTTTTCATTGTCTGAGTTCATTCAGTGATCTCCATTTTGTCTAAAAGAGAGGTCAGTAACATTCCCCTTAACTGTCAGCGTACTTGGTTAGCATATATGTAACTGGAGCACTAGTTTAGATGGATAGATGGATAGCCCTACACCTGATAAATGATACATTGTGTACCACATTACAGACCCCTACCCCTTTACCCCCTTTTACACATGAAAGCCTACACACACACACACACACACACTCTTTATTTATCTCTTCACAGAGAGAGTGGATGAAGGCGAGAAAGACGAGAACCTTGATGACATGTATGACCTGATGGTAAGATAAAGTGAACCAACATGACACTGACAAGCAATTGAATGTGCTATTATTGTTATGCCGTCTTTACATCATTTCCAGGCGTCTTTGTTTTCCTCATTATTCTCAGTCAGCTCGCTTACTTAACTTTCCCACAACCTTTTATAGTCTCGCCTGGTTCGAAATGAAACAACACACTTCTACTGGACAACACGTCGGGATGACATACACTGTCGCTCCTTGAAGCATGACCAAATGACCAATCACTACGCAAATGCTGGAACGTTTACTACCAAGGTATCATCTCTAAAGAGTTTCTAATAAGCAAGAATACAATTTACTCTATCTCCTATGTACTGTATATATTTGTGTTTCTTTCAGGTGGGGCTTTGTTTGAATCTGCGTAACCTTCAGTGGTTTGATACCGCAGATCCTGACACCTTCTTTCCAAGATGCTACAAGCTTGGGGCAGAGGATGAAAAGCATGCATTCATAGGTCTGCTGTATGGCTCTGTTAACAAATAGCTCCATCAAAAATGCAATGATGTGCCGAGGTGTAAATGGAACATGGAAAAATCTCTTCTCTTTCTTGTGCTCTTGTCCCCTCATTCTGTTATGACATTGAAGAGGATTTCAGGAGGACAGCGTGCTCCAGCCTGCTGCAGCATGTGGTTGAGACAAGTAGATGGAGGAGAGAGGGAGCAGAAGGCGAGAAACAAAAAGCCAAAAACAGTGTATTTGATGGTAACAGATAGCTAAATAAATAAACAATGTAACAATACTATGACACCAATCTTATTTCTCTCTACAGAGTTGGAGAAGATGGAGTGTCGATTTGTTGCTCCGGGGATAATCGACGTGGCTTTGCACGTGTGTCAAGAGTTTCTTAGTGTTTTAGAGCACGGCGACATTGATGTAACTGAAGAAACACACCCCTCCGTGGAGGAACAGCAGTGGGCAGAGTTTCTGCAAGACTACTACATGGTTGTGCAGTGAGTATGTTTTCTGGGTTTGCTAGAGCGATCCTTCTTAGGTCACACTAAATTTATCTGTAGTACTGACAGTTCAAGTCAGCTTGTCTAATGAATACAAGTAATTAAAAACTTATCCTAAAATGTATCTATATGAAAAATCTACTGAGTTCTTATTAGGTGAGGTTAAGAACAGTGTCAGCATATATCTTTAAATGGGTTAAATATGTTAGGCTTCAGGTTTAAATATAGAGTCAGGTTTCGGGTTTGTGTTAAAGTAGAGGTCAGTGGAATGATACAGCATGTTCCAGTTGCACACTACTGTATATACAAATACCATAAAATATACCACATGCTCATATTTATGGTGCACCATTTTGGCAACTGGTGTACAGGAAATCTGAATAGCCCTGCTGTGTCTTTTTAGTATAACTAGTTTTTAGCTTTTTAATGTTTTTTAATACCAGTTTTTGAAAAGAAAATTGAATGACCAAAAGACACACAGACCATTAATAAACTTCTATGAGTCTGTGTGTTTGTGTGTAGTGAAGGTGCATCGATCAGGGGCAGCAGTGTTTTTGTGGAGCGCTGCCAGGCCATGTTAATCAGACTGCAGGAGATGTGCCCTCAGCTGGATACAGATGGACTAAATAACATCTGGATCATCAAACCAGGCGCCAAGTCAAGAGGACGAGGTGAGGCTTTTATTTAATGATAGGAGTTAGTTACATAGTAATCATATATATTAATCTTTTACTTCCTCTCTATTCTCTATACATAATACTGAAAAATATAAGATAATATAAAACATAGTGTGTTCTTTTAAGTTGTGAATATTACAGTTGCAACATGAGGTGTGACATGTGGATGTTACTATTGCTTCCATTCTCAAAATTTAATTGGAAAAACTAAAATGATAATATACTATGATTCCTCTCAGCTTCAGTATGATAAAGAAATGTTAGTTTGCTATTTGTTTGAAGGCCATTAGAAACACCATGTCAGTAATGCTGCAGTTTTTGGTGCTTATTCTCCCATGTCACACCACCCACCCAGGTATTATGTGTATGGATCGCCTGGATGAGATTTTGGCACTTGTGGCCAGCGACAGAGTCCTGACTAAGGAGAGTAAGTGGGTGGTTCAGAAATACCTGGAACGTCCTCTGTTGGTCCATGGCACCAAGTTTGACCTACGTCAGTGGTTCCTCGTTACAGACTGGAACCCTCTCACTGTCTGGTTCTACAGAGAGTGCTACCTGCGGTTTTCCACTCAGCCCTACTCAACAAAAACTTTGGACAGGTCAGACAGCAGTCAAACAAACAAATGATATACTTGTACTTGACCTTTACTGTATCTTGTTTTTAGAGTTCTTTGTGGAGGGATTGATTTAACAATGCAAGTACAGCTAAATGTCAATCAGATGTAATTCAAAGCACATTTTACATTTACCTTCATGGCTTTACCTCATTTGTTTTTTTTCCTCAGCTCAGTCCACCTATGCAACAACTCAATCCAGAAGCACTTCCAGCCATCCTGTGACCGCCATCCAGGAGTGCCTGAAGACAATATGTGGTCCTGCTCTCAGTTTCGGGCTTTTCTGCAGCAGCAGGGCTGCAGCGCAGAGTGGGAGTCAGTGGTAGTCCCAGGCATGCAGCAAGCGGTGGTCCGTGCCCTGCAGACCGCCCAGGACCTGGTCGAGCCCCGCAAGGCCAGCTTTGAACTCTACGGAGCCGACTTTATGTTGGGCAGAGATCTGAGGCCTTGGCTTTTAGAGATCAATGCGAGTCCAACTATGGCCTGTTCCACCTCTGTGACCGCTCGCCTCTGCCCTGCTGTGCAGCTGGACACACTGAGGGTTGTGCTCGACCGACGGACTGATCCGAGTGCTTATACAGGAGGCTTCCAGCTGATCTATAAACAGGTTGGAATATCTTTACACATCATGCACAGGGCAATGGGTGCTCATTTCTAGCACTATTCCAGATGCTATACCAATATTATTATTAATGTTATTTTATTTGTGTTTTACTTCAACACCCTCCCAGGCAGCAGTTGAAGTTCCTCAGTATGTGGGAGTGAACCTGCTGGTGGAAGGAGCCCCCATAAGACGACTCAGACCTCCACTTCATAGACAAACTGTAATTTCTAACCCACCTCTCACAATCCAGTTCCCTTCAGACCAGCCATTGTCAGAAGAGGCTGAAACGGCACATCATAAACCATCTGTTCAGAAGTCATCCACAGTCTTGGCTTTTCACCATTCAGGCAAAGAGAATCGAGCTGTTGGAGAGAAAAAGAGGCAGCTGATATCAATATCTCCTAAGAGGGAATGCGAAGGGAGAACAGAAGTTCAGAATATGTCCTGTGTTCGCAGGTACTGTCGCAGTCTGGCATCTGAACAGCCTTTGGTGGTACACACTGAACCTCAGAGGAAAGCGCGACGTTTGGGTTTGAGCCTTGGTGCCAACGGGGTAACTCTAGTCCCACGTAGCCTTTCCTTTTCCCTCAGCCCTCGCCACAGCATGTCAGATTGTAAATCTCAGCCCAACCCAGGCCATGGATCACACATCTCCAGATCCTTCTTTCCCCAGACTGCTTCTGAGGCCCAACGCAGAACTTCTACCCGAGTCTTTCCTTCACTCCGGGGCCCTCTTCCAACCCTTGAGGTCTTAAGCTTGCGACCAAACATTGTGGCTGGAACCACTGCTTGTCGCAATCCAAACCTGACCTCTCACCCCAGCGTCCACAGGCATCAGTTATTTCTCTGTTCTGGAAGGCAAGGCGTGGGCAAATATAAAAGAGAGTGTGCAAGCGAACAAAAGCTCTAGTGGTGTCGAGTGTGCTGAAGATGTTTTGCAAGCAGCAACATTGTTTTAATGGACTGGAACCTAATGAATGACATATTACCTAACTACCTTACCTTAATCATAAAAATTTTGTTTGTAGAAACTTGAAAATCCAGACAATAATGGTGAAGAGTAATTTCAAACCATTCACACAGGGCCTTTAATTATGCAACATCAAGGTTGATTCGTTCATCAAGTTATTTGACATTCTTAAAATGTAAAATGTTACACATATAATATATTTATGGTAAAAAAATGATGTCTTATTTTGTATAAAACAATATGTATATGTTTTATTATTATGTTATGAATGTAAAAGCAATTAATATTGTATTGAAGTTCATTTGTATTCAAACAAACAAACAAAAAGTTAATTTGAATAAATTATATAATCAAATGATTACCTGTTCCACATATATACAAATAAACTGTTTTATATCAGTTACCAACAGGATGCAGGTATTTTAAATCCCCAGCAGGTGGCAATAAAGGCTTGGTGATCTAACTGCATGTTTATACCAAAGAGGGAATGGAATAGATAATAATTGGCAGTATTTATTGGTTGGTACATCTTCAGCAATACTGGTATCGGCTATTTCAGCCTCTTTACAAACATAAAGTCAAAATGTAAAAATAGCTTAGAAACTTAAAAATTTAAAATGTAAAGATCCTATTCCTATGTATCTATATTTCAGTGATCATATACTAATGAAAACATTCCTATGAATATTATATTACATTTCTGCATTCCATTCTAAATGTTAGACATGGACCTTTAAAATCAGACTTCCAGTACAGAAAAACTTTCCACTCTCAGCAGATCCTTCTAGTGTACATCATTCTGCACAGTGAAACAAGAAGAAGAACCTATTTTTGTGTGGAAAGGGACTTCAAGAGCACTGGAGTGTGGATGCTTTTAACAAGGTTGACCACTATTTGATTAACAGACCCTTCCTGAATGATTTAGAAACCAATACACATTAATTGCCATATATTTGACCAAATAAATGTAATTTACAATTTCTTAAAAATAACTAATTATGTCTGGGCATTTGCCTGAACTAGATGGCTAAAATGATTAACTCCAGAAATTGGCAAACTGAAAGAGTTTCTTGGTGGCATTTTTGCTCTTAATTAGACAGACTGACAGAAATAGAAACAGACAGGAAACAATGAGGGAGGGAGAGATGGGTACGCAGTGAAACAAAGGTCAAAGCGGAGATATTGTGGTTATGTGGTATGCGTCTTAACCACTAGGCCCAACGACCCAGCTACTGAGGTAAGATAGATTGACTGTTTAAAGCACTATTTAACTACAGAAAAATGTTAAACTGACTGAAATAATGAGTAAGCGACACCTCTCGCAAATAAAATCTCATGACAGCAACAAAAAAAACATGCAAATCCTCCTTCCACAAATTGATAGAAATTAACTTAAAGATAATCAGTTTAGGAGGAACTAATGACATTTAGGGTGCAGGTCGTGGACCTTGGACTTCAGCTTGTGCAAACAAACCAGATATGGAATAAAACAACACTCCTACAGCTCTAAAATAATAACAGAAACCACACTAATATGTCACTGAAAATGTTATGTTGCGCATTGACATTTGATGCACTGGGCCTGTGTAGAAATTTAAACGTGTTGATAACGTAGAGATAAACCTTGACAATCGAAAGTGCTATGCATAGCTGAAAAATGCTCAAATTGCACAATACAATACAGATGTTTTGATGTACTTCTCCATTCTGCACAGTATAGCGCTAGGGGAGTAAATATAGAGAGATGTTCTTTTTCTGGGATAATAATAATTGTGGGATAATAGCATTCATATTCTATTCATATTGAATCATACAGCCAATAAGAAATATGTCTCCCCGTCAAGGCTGTTGACAAGATGCAGATGGATCCTGATTATTGCCTCAGGAGATTAACTGAAACACTCATGTGCATTCACTTGTTGTTATATTAGTGGGCACAGACGGTTAACCAGCAGGAGAGCCTGGCTACAGATCTGCCATTACATAAGTGTTCCCTGTGACATGAGTGTTGTGACGTTGTAAAATAACTAAAACTGAATAGATTGAATTTCATTGCTATTTCACACACACACTCCTTCTCCTACATATACACACAATCAAAGCCATTTTCCACGGGAAAAAAAAAATACTTTATTAATACACTTATATAATGTATATCAACATTTATAGACAAAATATGTACATCAAACAACTTTCATGTAGGTCCCAAAATATAAAATCTCAAGTACCTCTTTCTATAGAAAACTAGTCTTCTGGTAAAACTTTTACATTCACTTCTCTCCTCTTTGCTCCTTTGACTCCAGTATTCATACGTAGTACAGAGAATAAACATCTGAGATTTATCAGCTTTTCACATGTAAAAAAGGCAACAGCAAGAACAAACACCAGGTTTGACTTGAGCAGAAACAGATGTTGAGTATGCAGACCAGGTCCAGCACAGTGCTACAGTATGTACACAGTTTCTGAGTACACAATGTACAATTGTCCACACTCTACCCACCTTCTATCTCTTCGGATGGACAGAGTGCAAGAACAGGTATCAAAAATAGAAATGTACAAGAAGTCTATGAACAATAATTACAGAAAATCCATCTCAACTGTCTGTTTGTCAATGAAAAACAAGACTTCTCATTCAGTGTAGTCATGTGGTGGGCCATTTCTCCATCCATGCATTTGGGTGTACCCTTACTCTTGTCTGTACACACTTGAGGAAACCCTCCTATTTTATAGTGCCAGTCATCATACTGTCTGGGCATTTTCAGTGATGATAAAGGTGACCTACAGGACTTAAGCAACAAACTTTGGGTGAAATATTACCGCTAACATTTGAGGCAATACTGTTCTAAAGTACAAAGATGGCGTGTCTCTATTACAACAGCTACAAGTGAGATGAATCAGTGTCATCGGCGTTCATACTTAAACAGCAGCATCTAAAACATATCTGTCTTTACATTCAACCAAGTGTGTGTGTGTGCAGGGCAGGTCCAGTTTATATGATACATTTGCATTGAGTAATACCACTGAGCATTAAACATTCAACCAGAGCTTTGCATCCTCTGAATGTGGATGGATGTTGCTCTCCCTTCCTTCTCCTCTTGATCATTTCTACAAGTTCTCCTGTTTGCTTCTTGACCTCCAGGCTGAGGAACAGGGGACAGGAATGAGGATGGATTATGGAAAGGCTCAGCCAAGTTCTCATTCCGACTACTGTCTCTGCTCTTGGGTACTTGAACAGGATCACCTCTTCACCCATGTTCTCTTATCTCTCAGTCTTTGGTTTCCAGGTTGATAGGTGGTACCTGCTTTAGTGCCTGAAGGAGGGCAGGGGAGTCCATAGGGGTCTGAGATATGGCTGGGGCTGGTGAGCCTCCCCTGGGAGACAACACTAACTGAGGTGGAGGCGGTCTTTCACTGGGCATGGCAGGTGAAGAGCTTCCCATGCCAGGGTAGAGCATGGGCATGGCCCCGGGGTACCAGCATTTCTCCAGCATTGGCAGGTAGGCTGCAGCAGAGGGTGGAATGAGGTAGAAAGGCATGCAGAGGGGATGTGGAGGAGGTGGGTGGTTGGGTGATACGCTTATGTAACTACCATAACCGCTAGACGACGACGATTCTCCACCTGAGAGCAGCTCGTCCTCAGATGACTCCACCCGGGGTCGTTTGTGGCGGGGCTCGTCATCCTCCTGCTTGATGCCGGAGCTCTGCCTCTCGCTCAGCGCCCGCTTCAGCTGGCTCTCCTGAACGTAGTAATCTTGGCGTCCCTGCGTTGCCCCTGATTCTGCCTTCTCCAGCTCCCCCCCATAGCCGCTGTCTGTATCCGTATCACTGCCACTCTGCTCGCTGCTCGCTGGAGCATAAGCCCGCTGGATGACAGGCACACAGTTCCTCCCATAGCCCTCGCTGGGTTTTGGGGGTAAGCTGGTGGGAATCTCCTTGTGAGGTTGGTGCTGGTGGTAGGTAGGGATCTCCTCGGGTCGAGGGCTGAGAGGGGTGTGGGGTCGGGCCGGACTTTGCAGCACCTCTGCAGCTAACTTGTGAAGGTGATTGATCACATGGGATGGCGTGAAGTCTACATCAGTCTCGTGATTGGCTAGATACTGAAGAATCTCCTTGGCACACATGTGGAAGCCAGATCGGAACATCTCCTCTGACTTCTCCTGGCTGACAGTAGGCTGCTCTGTAAACACAACAAGAAATCATACAGTCAGAAATTCTGCAATTTGACATTGATGCAACAATCCATTCCCAACCACTATAGCTACATTTGAAGTCACCTATTTCCCTGTAGCTGTGCATAATCCTGTCATTGTATATTCATCTTGGTAATTTGCATTCTGTCCAACAAAACCATCCTGTTCCACGTGCATATTTGCATGTGTCTGTGCATGTGTGTGTAGGTGATCTGCTGCTCACCGATTTGCATGCCATTCTGCAGAGCGAGGATCTTCTGTTGTTGTTGCTCCAGAAGAGAGGTGAGGGCTTTCACATGCTTGAGCGTCAGCTCTAAAACCACAGCCTTCTCCAGATGGCCCAGAGTCTGTAGGAAACACACACAGTCAGCACATCCTCACCTCTTTATATAACACATAGAGACTAAGCTTTACTACCCATGTACACATGATCTTGGCTGTCCCATCATTACAACACTTACAGCAGTGACCATGAAGGAAACAATAATCTATGAGAAATATTAAATATGAAATGGGATCATATATATTCAATAAGTAATATTCTGGCTGGACCATTCATTATATTACAATTAAATCTAGTATTGTATTGAACCTTTTTTTTTTTAATCCCCAGTTTAATTTATGACACATCCTCTTAAGTAAGAGCTGTCATTCACTGGCTGCTGACGCACTCAGCGCAGAGGATGTAATACCCCTGAACAGCCACTCGATGGGGCATGCCACTCAACACAGTGAATCCCATTATCCCTCCCAGCTACAGCATGAACTTACCGTGAGTTTCAGGTGCTCTGGTAATAAATCCTTCAACTGAGCGATGCACTCGTTTATCCGGTCACGCCTTTTCTTCTCAATAAGTCTGTGAGGCAGCTTGTAGGTTTCCTGCCAGAATAAACAGCATTTTTGGGGTTAATTCAGCGGATCTGAGCACACAGATCGCTCTGTATGATCACAGGCAGTCACACCGATAGGGAGGACTCCAGCAGGAGTTATGTCATAGCAGAAATTAGGTCAACCATTTCTGGGACTACAGGACTACAGCCAGCCTTATTCCCCCCCCTTATAGTTCACACCCTTTAATATAAAAGCTCCATGGTTATAACTTAACAAGTTGGCAAGAAATAAAATAATAACTGACCTTGCTCTCCTCTCCTCTCTTCATTCCTCGCCTGGGCTTATAAACATACATCGGGAAATCCATCCTAAAAAAAAAAGAAAGAAAAGAAGAGCGCAACAGTGAGAAATGATTTGACGGTTTGGTGAAGAATAAGATACAGCCTTCACAATAAATAACATATCAAGTGCGCTTCAGGAAAAGGCTACACAGTCTAGTAGAAGCTGTTTTTTCAAAGTATAACTTACCCCTGCACGTCTGACAGATCAGCCTGGTGTTTGGAGAGAGGAGGTGGTTGCGCGCTTGGAATTCGCTCCATTCTCTTTAGTCCAATTACGCAGTCAAAGTCGAGGTACTTTTCCAATGCAGTCACAAATAAATACGCATTTATTTACGCGTGATGGAAAAAGAAAAAGTTGTAAAGCAGCAGTTAAGTGAAATGCACTAAAAACGCTCCAAAACGGTTCAAAAGTTCTTTTTAAAATTCTTGTTGTTCTACACTAGCCTTGCTAATGTAATAGTTATTTTGGTATTATTGTTTTTTGAAGTTAGTCCCTGCGATCTCCACGCCGTACAACGAAGGCAACCCTCTTGGTGGCGAGTTGGGAAAGTGGGGGAGGACAGAGCGACGAGTTAAATAAACCCTCTGACTCTCCGCTCAGCCTGACCTACCTCTGTCACATGAGGCTCACGTGTTAAACGGCGCTGTATCCTCGGCGGAGGGACGGCCCACTTTCTGCAGATAAGGAGCCTCAGTGGGCGGACGGCGGTGGACGTCAGAGCGGGGGGCGGCGCGTGTCGGATCCCGTGTACCACCATGCTGAAGTGTATGGAAACAAGGCTGCGATCGCCACGGCTCCGGGAACGTGCTGGCAGGGGACCAGTGCAGGAGTTCAGCAGGCCTGGGGCACGAGAGCCGGCTGGGTATGGTACCTACTGCCAGTACAAAACACAAACAACTACATTACTATAGGAGCCGTAGGCAGAAATCATATTCTGCAAGGATTGTTATATAGCAGTGGATTTCATTGTGCCATCAAGTCACCTTTATCAGTGACGTTTTAGAAAAATTAATTATAAAAAATATAGAATTATTATATTATTATGTTCTGCACTTAGTGGACAACGTGACTGTAGTTTTATGTAGTAAAACTGTAGTTTTATATTGACAATGACAGGAATTATTTAGGAAAATAGCAGTTTCTAAAGGCTAATTATTTTCAAGCAGAAGATGACAACAACAACAACAAAAACAACAACAACAACAACAAGAAGAACAGAATTACTACAACTACGACTAATAATACTAATAATACTACTAATAGCAATAGTAATGATAATAATATCATCAACAACAATAATAATAGTGGTAATAATACAAACATTTAGCAGTGTATATCGATCTACATGTCTGCAGAAGGCAGGTGAGCTCCACTATAGACAGTGTGGTCAAGGCTGGAGAACCACGTGCACCTGTGCGTGGATGAGTGTCTGGTGGAGTCCGTGTTTATTGTCATGAGGCGCTGCCGGCTGTCACGTTGATCTCCTCATGGCCCCGGGAGCCTGCTGAGCGCGCAGGGCACATCCAGCACATCCAGCACACGGCGGCTGCACCTGTCTGCTGCAGGCTAGAAGCACAGATCACACCAGTACACCCTGTTGTAATGCAAGTTTTCATGAAATTATTTTATTAAGGCAAATAAAAAGGTGTAAAAAGACAGGTAAGACTACGTACTTATTATCTTTCTCTACAAGAATAGAATATTTTGATATAAAAAATGCAATGTTACATTACCAGACTCAATAAGACTACAGAGAAATGATCTATAATCAATCACCCTAATACACCAACAGTATGTTCATGTCACATGTAAACAGGATGTATGCCTTCATTTCACCATAACCAATAGTCAACAGCATGATTTTTTTCAGTCCCCTTAAAATCCATCATTTGTTCCTCTGCTAACTAAAGTCAATGTGGATCAACGTCCTCCTTATGAAGCAAGAATGAATGGGGTTTTGTGAAGCTGTAAGCAATTATATCTATCACAGTAAGAAGTATGGTGTGATTGGAGGACAGCTGCAACATTTTCTCTTCCATCCAGATTGTTTTTCAATTTACCACGTCTCTCAAGATTTTTTGCCTGGAAATCACATTTAGTAAAATCCCTGCTTAAGTTCTTTTTGGGACAATTTATTGATTTCAAGATAGGAACACAAAATCCAGTCTGCCAAACCAGATGAGACACACGAGGCCACACCAACTCCAAAACAAGGCAGAAGACATTTTAAAGTATTTTTAAAGGCAGAGCTTGACAGCATTTTATATTTTTTAATTAATGTAAAATTTTGGTTATCACAATTACTTTTGTTAGTTTGTGTACCCTCTAATTCTGACAACCTAAATTCACCAGAGTTAAATATTGTAATTATATATTTAACTTATCAGTGACAAAAAATACGTTTAAAAAAGCAGCCATTACTATGACCACGTGAGCTAAAAGTCTGTTTGAAAATTCCTGGAGTGTAGTGAATTAAATAGAAATGAGCTACAAGACTAAAGTAATTACAAAATGACCGGTCGCAGTGACTCGGTTGTAATTAAATAACAACATGGAATGCCCCTTGAAGATAATGTAGGTAAATGTAACACAATTTAACACTGAATTGGATTCCTACAAATCCTGTCAATGATACCTTTGTTCTAGTCCCCTTGTAGATACAAGATCTTGGAGAATACTGTGGAAAACACCTTATTTTTCTTTGACAAAAGTCCCTGAGTTTTTCATATGCTATCATTGTATACTAATGTAGTTTATTATTGGACACAAGCTAAGGCAGTTAAAAATATTATACATATGTGATAAATGGCAAAATGTTTGAATGGTAATGTTGACAGGTAGGCAATTTCAAAAACATTTTAGGTAATACAATTTTCTTTGGGTGCAAAGTTTTTTATGAACTATATAATATATTGTCAGTCTTTAGAAAATCTAAATAAAAGGCAGTTTTACAATGAAAAAAAGTTCTATATATGGTCCTCTGGTGCTGTGACAAAAGCCTAAAAAGTTAAAATTAAAACTAAATAAGTGCTCAACATACTAAAATATTACCCCATGCAACAGGGTTATTAGCTAAGTGCACTTTCCCATTTGTAGAGGATGACCGCTAAGAGTTAATCTGCCAGCAAATGACTTCTCTGTGAGGCTATTCATTCATCTGGCTGAAGCACTCGATTGTCAACAAATAAGTAATTACACAGATAATAAGATACACACAAAAAATGCTTTTGGTGTTTGCCTCGTTTAACACTCACCCACAGATAATTTTACACACTTGTTTATTTAAATAGTCTCCAAGAATGGAATGTACAATTCAGACACAAACTATCTATTAGTATAAAAGTTCAGTTTGGTCGAGCAGCACTCCAAATGACATCTATTTGTCCTTTTTTTCTCACACACACCCAAACACTCAAACAGTCATTCTCTCGTGGATCTTTTACAAAGTGACCAACCAAAAACTTAACAATCATTTGTGTGCTACAGACAATATCAGTGCTTTAGGACTAAATGAATCAAAGGAAGATTAAATAATTCAGTGCAGAGAAGAATAATACATTTAATTTAACATTTCTCCCAAAATCCTATAAGTTTGGTTCTACAACGTGACCTCCATATCACCACTATCATTGAGCACAACATGGAACTGGCTTCAGAGTGAAGCAGTCACACGATTCGCTCCTTCTCTCCAGTAGGTTTAATATGGTTAGTTACAGAAAAGTTTCAGGTCAGTATTATATATATCTCTTGACAGCACGTTTGAATGTCCCCTCAAAAGGCTTTTTTAATCTTAAGTGTCCTGGAACAAGTAGAACCTCCATTTGAGATTGCAAAAAATAATGAAAGTGATAACAAATGCTTGCCCTCAAGATAAAAACAAAACACTGTATAGGTTTTATAACAGCATTAAGAAACTATGTAAAAGTGTGGTGACCTCTTCAGGATTGTTTAGTCTCTATATTTTAAATAAAATATATAAAGTTTAATTTCAAATATAAAAAGCAAATACCAGTTCCGAAAAATAGTTCATTCTTATCGAGACATTGCATAAGTCTTCCTATTGCTGTCAGACAAAAGCAAAATATTAAATAACGTGTCGTAGAGTTCAAACAAACCTTCAAATCCACGTGACCTGAGTTTGCTGGTGCAATACTGAGGATTAAAACCTCTATACAAGGCCACTTGAGAGGAATACTCCTTCAGGAACAATGGCTGAACTTTGGCATGCTGTTAGTGTGGTACAATGCAGAAAGGCATTCAGGGTTGTAAAGCTGAAGTCAGTGTTTTTATTTCCTAAACCTAAAGGACTGGCTTCTCAGGTCCCAAGGCACTTGGTGCACACTCCACCCACACGGACATATCCACATCACAGACCAGGAGTAACGTACTCACGTAACTTCCACTTCACACAGACACTCAGAAGCACACATGTTGCAGAAACACTTATTGTAGGACCGTCTGGTGAAGTACACTGTCAGACATCCACCTACATACATACTGGAGACAGACACATTTTGGCATTCTCCTGTCTAACATGTGGTACACTGTCAGGAGTGCTCAGGCACTGGTGAAACTGGCCCCCCATGGGCCCTCAGGCAGGCTGCTGAGGGTTGATGTTCATGTGAGGAGGATGACCAAGGAGACCGATACGTTGCTTCTGTTTCCTCTGCTCTGTCATCTGCACAGAGAAACAAAACGAAAATTTTTCAGCTATCACCTCTGTAATTGTACTTTGGGCAACCAAAATACAATTACAATGTTCCCCCCCCATTTCCAGTCTTTATGCTAAGCTAAGCAAACTGGCTGCTGGCTGTAGCTTTGTATTTACCGGACAGACATGAGAGTGGTACCAATTGTCTTATCTTGGAAATACAGTTATGTTATGCATGATTCACTTTTACATGATATACCTGCTCCTTGAGCTCAGTCAGCTGTCCAGACAGGTTGGCCACCAGCCTCATGGTCGACTCCAGCTTCTCCTGCAGGTTCCTGATTTCATTTTGCTCCCCCTCCGCATCGCTGCTCACCAGCGACATGGCACGCATACGTGGGAACCAGTCCAGGTTGTGCTCCTGTGGGCAACCAAGCATATCAGCCACTGACTTTTTTTATTTTTATTCAGGTGTTAATGTACATTTGCTAAGCTTAATAATGCTGAAGTTCTTTTAAAAAAGTATTTGTAATCAGGAAGCTGCTAGTATATCAGGTGCTTTAATGTGAACTCCAAATGACACTGGTCGACAATCTGTTTTTTGAAGGAACTGCGTTGCATGTGTTATTGCTACAGGAGTAACAATGGAGAGTGAATGATCTCATACTGAGCTATAATGTAAATCCCAGTGAACTGACTATTCCTTATCATGCTTTGATCTGTTTTAGAGTTAAACTGCAACTCATGTACTGTCTTGTTCCACAGACTTCCTGTTTGTATGCACAAGTCTGTTTGTGTAATTAAATGTGCATAACCAACATGTATGTCAATTGAGATTAGAAAGGGGAAGACATTACTTTACTAAGGTGTGTGTGGCAGGCCAGTACGTGTTTACAAGTCTGACTCAGTTGCATATCCTGGTGAAATCTACTTGATCACATTTGTGACACAAAGGTATCATGCTGCTTTCTCATTCAGGATTGCTGCATACCGCTATAATCTACAGAAACAGACAAGGAACACACTGATGGCTTTGAAATGATTAAGGCACAGGGACGAAATACATAAGTCATCAAGCCATGAAGTAACTCAGTGGAGCAACATTTCTCAGCAAATAAAACACGTCTTATTCCCCTTATTCCCTGTAGACATCAACAATTCTGCTGTTCCTGATTTGCAGCATGTGGATCACTATTAACCCCAAGGCAGCGTGGTCTAATACTAAATGTAACCTATTTACAAGGGAAAAAAAGTAGGCCTGCACTATCATCTGAGGAGGTGGAAGTGTGTTTTAGGGTGTGTCTGTGCATTTTATTTACGTCGATCATCTCAGCCACGTAGCTCTCAGGTCCTGTGTATTCAGTGGAATCTTTAACTTTCACCAGCACAATAAAGAACAGGTAGTGCCACATGTTGTGTTCCTCTTTGATGTGTTCCTCAAAAGTCACTGTCTTGTTGTCAAACTTGTCCCGCTCCAGGCCTGTAGAGGGGATGTAATACACATTATTTATGGTACGAAGTTACAGCATGTTTAAGAAAAAAAACAGCTCGTGTTATGCCAGTTTCTGTGAAAGAAAAGTGGGACGGTGACTAGAAAACAGAAAGTTAAACGCATGGGTGTGAGACATAAAAGATCACAACAAAATGAGTCAGTCCAATTCCAAGGAATCGGTGTTTGTAACTTCAGTTTGTGTAACAGTAATAAGGTGCACGCACAGTACTGTACACCTATTCTGTAATAACAGTCGGAATAATGACACTATCTTGCTCATTATTGAGTAAACATATAAAAAAAAGAATGTACGTAACATTCATGATTGTGTATAACATCCAAAATAATGACTCTCTTTAATAACAATGACTTAACACATAAGAAAATGGCAACTATATATACAAAATGGAGTAGGAAAACAGACAGATAAGACAATATGGCAACAAAAAGCAGAATATAGAAATTACAATGCAACTACAACACAGGGTTCACACAAAAACAAGTGCATCTGTCATGGCTCTCCTCCCCTCCTACTCCCTTTACTCATCCTCCTTCCCTGTGTGTCTCTGATGAGGGTGTGGCCTCCATTCACCTCACCTGTGCACCGTCTCACCTGCCTTCAATCAACTCACCACCCTCAGCCCGGTCTTCCTTCCATTCATTGCAGATTGTTTCAGCCAACGTGGTGGCTCTTTTCAGTGTTTTGCTTGTTATTATAAGTCTACTTGTGATTTACCTGTGCCTGCTCCTTAGCCTGACCATTTCTCTCCTGCGTTCCAGGGACCCAGTGTGCGTGTTGAATAAAGACCATTGAAACTGTCCATCCTGTCTGTGTGTCTGCTCCTGGGTCTAGTCTAAACACTAGCCTTGACAGCATCTGCATTAAAATTGTAGGTTAAAGGCTCTCGAGTACAGTACCAGGGATGTATTTTCTTTGGGGAATTGTGTTCTGTCTGCTGTAGTTCAAAAACTAAAGAGTAGAGTTTGCTTCACATCTTCAAAGTGAAATGTAAAGAATAGGGCAATATCATTATGTTTCCCTTCATAGCTTTTAGCAATCCTGTACAGCAGACTACAGTGAATTTCATTCACACATGAAATCAGTCACCTTGTCAGGTGGACTGCAGCAACTCCAGTGTCTTGCGACATATAAATGCAAATTTCAGTCTCACTTGCATTTCTGCCTTTTTTCCCTCTCATTTACAACATTTCTTCTCTCATTTACAACATAGATTCTTAAATTAACAAGTATTCTTCTTTAAACGGAAGTAAAAACTACTGGTTGCTTTTGAAACCTTCCCTAATAGTGGTTACAACATACACACATCTTTCAATTTTATATAAATGGTAAAGAGAGCTTTTGGCTGTGCACAAAATGGTGGTCTACATTTAAACAAGAAGGGACTGTCTCTATGTTTAGACCCATGTTATAGGACAACAGAATAAAAACTGAACCAACTGGTTTTGGGAGCAATTCTCAGTATGATATGTTTAGTAATACATAACAGCAGAAAATCTAGTGTCCTTGTGAGAACCTTTAAGATATTCAGTCAACAAGTCCCTGTTCCTATACAAAGAAGAGCTGGTTGTGAGGTGAGCCTCCTCTGAACAAAAATAATTTCAGCTCAGGTAAAAACCAGCCAACCATGCATTTAGGGAAGCCTCACAACGTAAGTCAATCATTGGCTACAGACCCAATGATCTAAAAACTAATACAAGATGGAGAGAGAGAGATCGATAGGATTATAAAACGAAGCTGGAGGATGGAGAGCCACTTAAGCCTGTGGAGGTCGGCTCCTAATCTCTGCATCTCAAGTTCCCTCGTGGTCCTTCTGGAAACCATAGAGACGGCAGCTCCCCCTGTGGCCTGGCCTTCTCTAACATGAGTGAGTCAGAGCTGATGGCTGCCTGGGTGACATAATACTGTTCTCGTTCCATATGCTTACCACTTGTCCCGCCTGCCTGACCCAACATACGCAGGCACACACATGCTCACATACTGAATGTACTGCTCGGCTTAAACACACACATACTGTACAGTCACACCCACACACACACTCAGTAGCATGTACTTATTTAGGCACTCACAGATGTGATGTACATATAAGGAAATGCAGATGATGCTACAGAGGGACAGAGTATGGGTAATCAGGGAAGTTGCACAAAACATATGGTATGAAAATTAAGTTTGAGTGCGTGTGTGTGTGTTTGTGTCTGAGTGGGAGAAAATGTGTGTGCGTGTGAGACAGACATGAATTATGGAGGCGAGCAGAGCAGTGGCAGGAAGTTCTCATGACTCAGCCTTCTTTGGAACGACAGCGAAGTGAAAAAGGGGGGAGGAAGAGAGGAGGGGGGACCGCAACAAACTGCATACACCTTCAGAAGCATACTTACTAGAAACCACAAAAACACAAAAAGAAACCAAACATTCTGAGAGGGGAATTTGGGAATTGACCAAGTGGCATAAGGTGGACTGTGGACGAGTACTAATGACGCACGATGTTTGAAACACAGAGCCTTTACAACAGCAGAGCACAGGCCTACCAGGCTGGCAGGGTGCCCTAATGATTAGAGAAGTAATCCTGTCTGTGCAAAGTTAGAGGTTTGATTCCTGTGACAATACCCTTAGCTATAAGATATATTCTGGCACTAACTACTGAATTTTTGGCAGAGATGGCTATACCACATAAGATAAAAGTTCAAAGTTACACATAACCAGTAAATATTTGCATGTCTGAGGTAACATGCAATGTTGTCAACTTTAAGAGCTGCATCTAAATATTTTATTCTCCGTATTGATTGATTACCTGCCTTGCCTATATAGTGAATAGTATAGTTTTTAGTTACCAGAGCCAAAGTTGTTGTCTTCCATTTTGTCTGAACAACAGTTAAAAAACACAAAAGCTGCCAGTGCTCACATAAAAATGAGCTGGAACCTACATTCTCTTTCTTTAAAACTATTTATCCATTATTAAAATTGTGAAATACATTTTCTGCTGATTGACTAAATAATTTAATCACTAGTCAATCAGCTGAGGAGTCTTACCACAGATGAAGCAGGTGGTCTTCAGGACTTCTTCTTTCTTCTGTTTTTCACTCCTCAGGTCAGCGAAGGTGTCAATGATGACACCAAAGATGAGGTTGAGGACAATGATGATGACCATGAAGAAGAATAGCAGGTCATATATCACTCTGGCTGCAAACAGTGGCTCCTGGGAAGGGAATGGGAAACAGGGTTAAATGTAGAGCAGGGTCAACCTAAAGACTGTCCCATTTAAATATATGACCCAAAGGGCAAGTCTTTATGTAAACATGTTTTGGAGATGATGGGTTTAAAACGAGGTTAGCTTCGTCATCATTGATGTAAATGGAAACACAAGAACACAGGTGAAACCTGCCAGATGCTACAGTAACTGAGACAGCAGAAAGCTGTGAGGTCAACCTGATGCAGCCTGCTTCTGTACATTGGGAACAGTTTAAAAAGGTCCTACTTTTGTAACACAAAGGAGACATTTTATTATATATTTTATAGCATTAGCCAACAGACTTCAGTGACTACACACTGTCAGTGCACTTTCTTTCGCTCGTTTTCCATTTTTAGTTAATCCTCTTTAAAGTCACGGGGTGAGCTTGTCCCTGGATGCATTTAACATAAGGGAAATACCCTGCAGTGGTCAACAACCTGATGCAGTCACACAATCGCACTCACACTTATTTAGTACAAACAACAGTGCCCTGAGCCACACTGCAAACCATGTGATTTTATGGCTGACTGCAATAACACTTCTTTAGTTGACCTGAGCAGCCAGCAAGACCTTTCAAGTTGCATTGTGTTGTAAATATGTAAGGCAGATATTCACATCCTCTTTTGACATCATTAGTGGTTGAGCCTGAATTCAGTGGAAATCTATATTGACGTTTAATTCTCACACAAGGAAGAGGCAGTACAGCTGTATGGAAACATTGTGAAACCTCAATGCTTTTGAAATAAAAACAAGTTCAGTGAAGGATGGGCTCATGGCCAGCTCACATGACCCATACTGCAGCTGTGGGTATCTCACACACACACACACAC